GAACCTTTCGCATGACAGATCTTTTAGGAGAACACTGGCACTAGGTCCTAGGGCCAGATCGTACAGGGAGAATGACCTGACCCTACCAACAGATCAAGTCAAGTGCAGCAAGATCTTTAAGACGGTGGCAGTCCATGTTTGGTCCCGAGTAAGCTAGTTTAATAAGAGATTTAATACACGATGTCTTGACTGGAAAGGATCTGTGGAGACTTAAACAAGTCCCTGATACTTTGAAACCATTCTTATAGGCTGATTTTAGTTACTCAAGCCCTCTCAACTGCCATTGTGTGTTGTATAGCAATTGTGCCTCAGAAAATCCCCCTTGAGGAAGTGGTAATAAAGTATGTATTGTCTGCGGTGTCCTACTCATGTAAACAAATTTATCTCACACAGCACTCAAATAGACCAGACAAAGGATTCTTTGCACTAAATTTTAATTATCAATTTCAAACTTTATCTGATGAAATATGTTAATGAAAAATGAAGTGACAAACCAACGCTCCTAATGGACAGATATCTTCCATTTCTCCATGAATGATCTGTAAAGGAATCTTGAAATGCAGTTATCATGACAAACTGAAGTTCCAAGAATTCACAAGGGCTGTCAGACAAGTGGGTCATTTCCTTTATTGGGAAACCCATCTCATCATTTCCCCACCCCGTCTCATCATAACAGAGAAACAGGCCTCAAATGAACTAAGGTATTAGCAAGTTGATGCGACACTTAGCTATCAACTTGAAGTTCATAAAGGTAATTATTACAGGGCTGTCGTCAAGGGCCGTAAGCTGTAACACCTGTTACGGCTGAGTATGCCTGATTTTCCCTTGATGCTACGGGTGAAATTGCCTGTTGTTGATAGAATCCACCCAAAAAGTAACAAGTTTGCTACAAGGTGTGGAGAACAAGGCTACAACTGTGACTCAAAACTTAATGACTAAAGCCTCAGTATTAACACTCAAAATGTCAGCTTCTCCAACATGCCATGGTTGTTAATCTGCTTGAAGACACTGTTAAATAGCAGAGATGTTCTGCACCACAGTTTAATAAATATGGCACAAGGTGCATACGTACTTACCAGTAGGTGGATCCTTAGAATGACTGCACTACAACAATCAGGGGGGGAATTTAATTCTCCCTTCTCAGTCCAGAACCTAACTTACAAGACCACAGCATGCAGCAGTGCCTACTCTAGCCTGTTCCAAGCTCTCGGTCAGTTTGGACAATCGAAAAAGCAACTGCGCGATGAGTGGGGTCTGGTTGAGCAAGACCCCACTTGTTTTCCACTTTTTCTCTACCAGACCACACTTGTCACCCAGCCGCTTTTTGGATTGTCCCCACTGAACAAGAGCCTGGAACAGGCTATATCTACCCCTAAATCTGTAGAAATTGTATCTAATTTTACATTTTAATTTAAGTCAGCTTAAAGCAAAGTCCATGGTTTAAATTTTAAAAGTTTAAATTTTAAAAGTGATTTTCCATTTTTATAATACTTCCATTTTGTATTAGTACTTGGATTTGATTGATTGATTTTTAATTTTTTACTCTATTTTACCTTAGTTACTGAGGATCACTGAAAACCATGCAATGTGATGGGAGTTTCCTACATATAGATTTATTATTATTATTATTATTATTATTATCATGGTTAAATTTCTCTTCCCAGGTATTTAGGGTGCTTATGATGACTATATCCACAACCCTGGGATCACAGAAACAATGACTGAGGCAAGTGCCTGACCGTTTGCCACCCCATACTGGCTATGGCCCTGATCTTACCTTTACCTTTTAGCAATTACCTTAGCTTTTAAAATCTTAATCCTTAATAGCTCTAATTTGCTTTTAATTAGGATTTCAATTAATTATTAATTTGCTTTTTTTTGGTATACTTGAATTTTCAACTGTAAATGTTTTTATACTTAGCTATTGTGGCAATAAATTTTGACCTTCAGGTCAATTTGTCTGACAAAATTACTCCTGGTCATTGCAACTGATAATGTCAGAGCGCAGTGGTGTATAGTGTGCTGGAAGAAAACACGTACACAGTAGGTAGATGATAGATAAACCTGGGATCAATATCATTGGCCAAGGTTAATGGCTAATACCATCTGCAGTTATGTGGCAGGTATGCTGGCCGCATATGAGAACCAGGCTCACTTGTCTCCACCCTTATAGACAGTACTCTGCAGAAAATATATACAAGCAGGTAAAGTAAAAAAAAATGTTTTCTGCTAAAAAAGTAACAGAAGAATTAAACAGTCATACAGCTATACACAGAAGTCTGTATACAAGCCAACTGGCCCATTGGGCCACTGTTTATTCTGGTTTCAGAAGCATGAGGTGACAAGGAATATTTCTACCCTCCCCCCTCCCCCAGATGGGAAGCTAGTAATCACAGGGCTACCCACCAGCATTAAGTTTGCCAGTACACACTTATATGCCTGGCATGAGCAGAGGGGCATGGTGAGAGTAAAGTATCTTGCCCAAGAACACAACACAATAACCCCTGGCCAGGGTTCAAACCTGGACTGTTCGATCCAGAGGAGAGTGCTCCAACCATGAGGCCACTGTACCTCCCGTACAGCCATACATACCCCTACAAAATCTTGGTTCAACTCCCATTTTGTAATGAACTCTTCAAAAACGGAAGTTAATGCTTACACTCCAACACTTGCAAGCTGCAGAAGAGCATGTTTTGCAATTCACATCTATATTTTATAAACCTGACAGACTGAATTACCTAAGCTAGTAAATTACATTAAAAACAAAATAAATACTTATTTTCATTTGTAGCTCAAGTGAGGGTGTTTGTATACTGGCAGCTAGGTACATAGTTGGGATGGAGCATTTTCAATGTTTTTTGTTTGTGATAACTATACAGCACAATTGCCATTGCACCTCTAAACCAAATTTAGCATGCTCCAGTTGATATAAATAAACTATGAAGTTTGAAGTGATGTTTTCTCTTATACAATAATTTGACACCCATTTAATAGATGCCTGTTTCACCAGTTAACTCTGACACCAGAAGTCTCATATTGGCTTAGTGCCACTGTGATATCATCAGTAGTGACAACATGTTGCTCAGCAAAGGACTTAAGTGTTCATAAACCTTTTGAAGTGAAAGGACTTTGATTCTACGTGATTGTCTGAACTTTAAATGAATTTATAGTGTACCCTAATTTGACAGATTGCCAAGACTGCTAAGACATCTTGCAAAAATAAACTGTGATAGGGATTTCTTTTTTTGTTTTTTGCAATAGATTTCCTGCTATGGCGTTTGACGTTACATGTATCGGCAACTTTTTGATAACCAAATTTGACAGAGCAACAATACAGTAAAGTAAACCAACTATGATTTTGTGGATTAATCCCTTGTGACTGTCAAAATACCGTTGGTTTGTTTATGCAGCCAAATTTGATACCTGATAAATTCACTGGAAACAATATCAGTGGTTTTGGGTTTCTAGGCCACTGTTTTCTTACAACTAGATAGTGGTACCTATACCTGGAATGATACAATTTTTTTACCAGATAGTGCATTATTTCTTTTAGCTTTACACTGATATATAGTTTGTAGTGGTTTACTTTAAAACAGTATATTGACAATTGTTTGGCTAAGGACATCTGCAAAGGTGTATGGTAACATCAAGGGTGCAAAATTGGGTTGCCCACATCACAGGAACTTCCTAAAACGAAATATCTTGTTAAACCCAGAATTCTCAAGAGAAGTCCCAAAACTTTTGTGATTTTCTGGTTCCATACCATCATCTTCTCACAAATCCAATCCTTGAAAGATATAGCAACCTGTGACAGGCAAGTATCAGTTCTTTGTGATGTATTGTTTTGTTCCAGAAAATATCCATACCCCATTACAGAGAGAATTGGAAATTCCGGAGGCGTGGGGGATCAAAGACCCAGGAAATTCAAGAGGGTGGGAGGGGGTGGGGGTGGGGGTGGAATGGTTTATTTAGGTTCCAGATGTCCTTTGATTCAATACAGATTCAAGCATCAATCTACCCGTTCAAAACTCCTTCCTTACCTACTAAGTAGATCATCTTTTACATAAAAATTGAATTACGTTATATCTATACTTAAGTACATTTTCTTTCTTCCAAAAGCAATTTGGAAGCTAACACGTACAAAGAGCGTGCTTCATGGACACTGGACAATCACATGGACATGGCCGCCATTACTTGTTACCAGTCTACCTGAAGACACTTTTCAGACTGAAAAGCACTCTGATGACTAGCTTAGTTTGTCTTTGAAGCTGTCAATTGGTAGTCGATTTCTTTCGTGAAAATTACTTTCATTATAATGGTAGAAATGTTACAATTTAAGAAACTTGAGAATTTCTTATTCTAATTTATCTCTGCCCACTTTTATATAACTTTGCTGTAAAAATTGAGCTGTAAAAATTGGCTTTCTTTGCGTGTGTTAGCGATCATGTGTTTTTGTTAAAGTATGGTGTCACTTTCATCCACGCAAGGTTAACTCGACTAATGTTTAAATAAATTGCTATATGTTTTCTTTGTGCATATAATGTATCTTAGTGCACAGAATAAACAGCAGTTACATGGAATGTAGACGGCCTAGTGTTTGGAGTATTCACTTAAACTCAAACAGACTATCTTGCCAAAATGAATTTTTCTGGAGGGTATGAGGGTGTGCATAATACTCATGGAAATTTCAGCAAGTTGGGGGTGGGGGTTATTTTTGTGTTCAGAAATGGAAATTCCCAGGCGGTGGGGGGTCTTGGTCCCCCCATGGTGGGGGTATGGATATTTTCTGGAACGACACATTGTGATAAAAAAGTACTTTTACTCTAGGTTGCATTCAAATATTCAGACTGATCAATTGCATTTAACCCTACCAGTCACAAGATCAACAGGGAAAATCTCATTTTCAGGGGATATAATTTCTTCCCCTCCAGATGCATGAAATAGCTTCTACAATATGTGAAAACATGTAGTTACTTTGGAAAATAACTAACAACCTCAACCTCCAATAAGATCAAGCATTTTATTCTTAACCCAAACAGCATCAATAATGGTCATGTTGTGCATACATTGCAATAAAAAATAAAAGTGGAAGAGTGATAAACTACACTCCTCAATAGACTACAACAATTGCCACCTTCGCCATGTCTATTTCAAATACAGCCACATGCCTATGATGCATGTTCCAGTCACTGAGTCTGTATGTGAAATAGAACTATGGTCATAGAAAATCACAAAGAAAGATAGCAAGAAAATTTCTGCTGTTGCAGTCAACTAGAAGGAGTAGTTATAGAAGTGTTTCCTGTTAAAATGCCGTGACTTGTTCTAGTCCTGGTCTATAAAGATGTCTGCAATTCTGGAGTAGGCTATACTGCATCTTATCTGGTTGATTCACTGTAACTGCAACACTGTGATTCTTCTGTACCCTAGGTCCTTGGTGCCTTAGTGTAACTAATGTCTGGCTATGTCGACTTAGACTTCAAATGCAACGAAACCTAGGTATCAAAACAGAATAGGCTTAGACTCCTTAGAAAAAATAACAGTTAGACTTGTACTTACCCTTACAGAATAATTTAAATTCTTAGTTAGGTACCACTATTACTATTTTAAGGCAGTTAATTAAAAATTGGATCACTGGCAACAAAGAATGGAGTTTAGGTGCAATGCCAATGACAAATAATTGTTTTAAGGAACTGTGATTGAGATTTAGTTTCCTTTTTATTGCAGAAGTACAAAAAATGTAAGAATGAAACTGGGGAGCAAAGACCAGAGAATTGAATCAACATTTATTGAGCATGTGGGGAGGTTATCACAACCAAGACTTAGGAGATGATATGATATCTTCCTCACCTGTTCTTCTAATATGGCTTATAGCGTCCTCCTCCTCGTCCTCCTCCACCACCTTGACCATAACCGCCTTGCGGGCCATAACTTGATGGTCCTTGTTGGTAGGCACCCATACCCATGCCGCCATAACCATCATAACCTCCACCGCCATAGGGACCGTAATTATAGCCATAATCACCACCATGATAACCATAAGATTCATTATAGCCGCCATGGTAATTGCCATACCCACCGCCTCCAAAATCACCTCCGCCACCACGACCGCGACTACCTCCAAACGACCCACGACCACCTCCGCGTCCACCGCGTCCCCCCGAGCCACCTTTGTCCTTGTCCTTGGGCTCGGCTTTCTTGATTTCCACTACCTTCCCACTGATGTTGACTTTTTTGATGCAGCAAAGTTCATCAACAATGTCCTCGTCCTCGAATTCGACAAAGCAAAAACCGCGATGCCTGGTTGAAGGAGTGCCATCATCGTTTTTCTTCATGATCAAGTCAACGTTGGTTGGAAGAGTGCCGCGAATCTCGCCAGCAAGAGCTTGCTTGATATCTTCGGCGGTTGCTTCATCTGCTAAGCCACCAATGAAGATTTTCTTTGTTTTGAGATGCGCTGTTGAGCTCGAATCATCTCTCGGGATGGCTCGTTTTACTTCAACTTCTTTCCCGTCAATGAAATGGGGTCCCTTTTCCTTCTTGTCTTTTAATACCGCAAGAATGTCGTCTTGTTTACTGAACGTGACATAACCGAATCCTCTGGACGTTTTCGTGTTACCATCGCGGATTACAACACAGTCTGATAACTCACCGTACGCCAGAAAGTACTCCTTTAAAGTTTCATCCGGAGTATCTTTCTTCAAGCCACCAACAAAGAGCTTCTTCAGACGTTCTTCATTATCCTTATCCGATGGGGCGGCCATGGTTCAAATGTTTCTAAACGGAAAGCGTTTTCGTCCAATTCCTCGACGATAAATTTGTCCTCCTCAAGCAGTGAATGCGTTCAAGAACCGCATGCTTTTTCATGCGCATGCTACAAATGCAATCCCATGAACACCTGGTAGGGTAGTACTTTGTGTAACACTTCCTTGTTATACCTTGTACCCAGTCCTCTTGTAACCTTCCTACTGTAATACCTTGACATATTTCTACCAGGAGTGTAGCCAGCCTTTAAGCCATAATTAAGCATAATTTCTGTAAATAATTTTTTTAGTAGCCGAAAGGCCATATTTTCTTTTTCTTACTCTTCAGTAGTGAATCACCACTCCTGTATCAATGTTTTATTTTGAAAACCAAAATACTGACTTTCAATCTTATCCATGAAAAAATGCTGAAAGGTTATTGACGAAGCAGAACTTTGAAATAGTTTTGCACAAGAAAATTTGGTCGACTGTCGTTGTTTTTTTTCTGGACATTGTCAAAATTTGATATATGACTTAAATGGAAAAAATGGCTGGCTACGCCCCTGGCTACCTTAGCTTGCTACCTTGATACTTAGTTACCCTCCCTAGTGATTCCCTGGTACCATCTGGTAGTCTGGGGAGAGCTGGGAACGAATCGATCCCCCAGAAGCGATAGGGTCCTGAAGGGTATGGTTTTCAGGCATTCTCAACCCCAGAGCTCTTCTCTTTTGCGCCCAGGTCAAGAAAGCGAGGGGTCTGAGGTCAAGAATGGGTTTTCAGGCAGTTTAGTCTAGAAATCAGACAGTTACCGGGAAAGTAGCCAGTGTATAAAGAGTAAATAATTTAGTCTAGATACTATAAGGTTCTTTACCTGGGGTTCTGAAATTGAAACTTGAAAATTATTCTGTAAAATATTGATGCCTAGTCTAGAATAAGGTTGCAAAATAAAGCTGATCATGGTCTAGTATGGGGCAAGGGTTTCAGTATCTCAGCAGCACACACCCAACCAAAGATTTACAGAGTACCCTCCTGGGTATGTAGCTATCATATTTGCATAATTGGTGCAACACCAACCTGATACCCCTTACTTTACCAATGAGGTAAATAGTGGCTTAAGATTCAAGTCTTAATGTGGACAACTGGCAGGTGAAAATGATTTTGAGAGGCAGGTTGCTAGGTATTTTGTTCCCCAGGGGGAGCCCCCATGCAATGTGAAAGGCCAGGCACAGGGCCACACCACAACAATCTGGCTGTATTAATGGGTCTTTAAACAAGAAAATGACTGATCAAGCTTTTGTTTGGGAAAGAATAAAGTGGCTGTAAGGCAGGGTTCCTCTTAGCCTGAAATGTCAATTATCTCCTGCTCCTGCTCCCACCTTCAACATTACCTCCAGGGACAATGCTGAGGGCTAGAGATGACTGACATATCAGGATAGGTTCCACTGTAATTACTGAACTTTTCTTATATGCATACTTACTGGATCATGTGTACTAAAAGCACCTGCAGTCGAGTGTCAATCAATACCCTTGTTCGACACTCCATCGAGATTGACACTAGATCAACACTCAATTGACAGTTTATCAATAGTTGGCAATGTCAACCGACTCATATGTATCGATCAACACTCCATGGTGTGTCTGTGAATATTAGGTGACTCTCAATGGAGATGTTGATTGAGTGTTGACTGAGACTGAGTATTGATGGGGATGTCAATTGAGTGTCCATAATGGGTATCAATCGACACTTGACCATAAATGCCTTGCAATGTATTGGTTTGACCATCCTTCACAGTAAGTTTTAATGCATTCATTGTCCACCAAATCATTCTGGGTGTAATAATGGGATTAGCTCTACTTTTAAATCCTTCAGATGAAAATAGATAAAATCTATGTGATAACCTTCAGATGACAGAAGTTATCGTTATTACATTATCTCTAAAATAACCTATCATTTCATTTGGACAACTAGGAACACACATTCTATAGATATGCTCATGATGGATAGCTAATTTTACATGCCTGTCATTCTTAACATGCCAGTCATGTTGGAAACATGTATATTGTTTCCATAAATTAGAAACAGTTGCGAAGTGGAAGATCGGCCTTTCTGTGTCTTTTAAGGCTATTGTTGCAATTTTGTCGCTGCAGTTTATGTCCTTTGAGGTTAGGGTTCGGGTTTGGGCCACTGGTTTCGTTTTCTCCCTCAACTTTTTTCCCTCCTTTTTTTGGGGGAGAGGGGGTGGGGGGCGGGGGGTACATTTCAATTTGCAAGGTCATGACACTATCAGTGCTACCTTTGAAGGTTTCGGTACCGTTTAATTCATTTGATGCAGCTCGCTTGACAGATATGTTTTCAACAGATACACTCATCAATGAACACATTTAAAAATGCAGTTTAAATCATGTTTAATTACATCAACAGCTTTTACATTTAGTGAAATCTCACATTGTGATACTATGAACAGCCGTATTAGAATTAATATTATGGCTGATTACACTATCTTTTGTTTTGAAGTAACACAAAAAAAGTTAGTTACAGTTTTTCAGAAACTTAAATACATCTCTACTCTTCCGAATGTTTGTGATCTTGTTGATCCCAGAAAGCAGATTGCTGGCGGCAGTTCCAGCTCCACCCAGTCTTCAAGCAAACCCCAAAATCCCTTCTTTGCTGCTGCATTTGAAGCTATTGGCCCATGCCAGAAGGGGCATTTACCCCATACATAACATACTTTCATTGGGAATTCATTCTCATTCACTTCTTCCAAACTCCTACAAAGCAACATATCAAATGACCCTATGTTAATTCTTCGCTACTTACTGTTTTTTTTTTTTATTTCGGCGAGCTTTTGGGGGTTGCTTGTGATCTCATTCATTCATACATTGACCTTTCTAATCTACAAGCATTAATGTGCAACCTTTGTAGTACGATAAAAGAATACATTTCTTCTTTTCTTTCACTTTTTTGTTTTGTACTCACCGAAATCTTGTATTCAAGGCTCTACAATGTGGACATGTTGGTACTCTGTTTTTGCTTTGCCTTTCCGCTACCCACTTCATCAGGCATTTTTGATGAAGTTTTCTCAGGCAATATTTCAGTTCCAGAAGGGCTTTAGGGGGCACATGATCAGTGCAGATGGAGCATATCCTGTAAAAATAAAAAACTCCAGTGACATGGTTATGCTCAATCCCTTATGTAAACAGTAGAGTAGAGTAGAGTAGAGTAGAGTACTTACTGGGCTATATTTCTTAAATTGGACATTACATAGAGGCTGTAGAGGCAGAACAGGCAGAAAAACATTACTGAAAATTTCCAGCATATTTTGGGACACATTTGATTTACACATTCGGTTGTTTTGAACACAAACAAGCAATAATAATAATAATAATAATAATAATAATAATAATAATAATAATAATAATAATAATAATAATAATAATGAAAACTCTCTTACAGCATACTATGGATGCAGTTGTCCTTGTTTCACAAGTTACTGGCCAGTCTGAAAACTGGAGACACTTGAGTTGCACAAATGGCACGACTTTCCACTTGCAACATGGTGGCACACTTTAACCTCATGTGCATTCATCCCAGAGCACCACTGAAGAAAGAAAAATAGCCACTTCTAACACAAAGTTCTAACAAGAAATTACAAGTTAAAGGAAGTCTCATCCTTCAATCTTGTTTGAAATGAATAAAGCAACTTACGTCTAGTGTACTCAATATTGTGTTGTCACTTAAATTAGTCCCCAGCCAGGAAAACAAACTCTCTTGAAACAGAAAGGCACTGATTATCCTTGCAAAGGGAACACGCCCGACAGCACATTTCCAAACATTGAGAATAGAGTTGAACATAGGGCACAGGGGAGTGTTTATAACAAACTTCGAGGAGTTTGGAAATTCGATCAAACACCATCTCAAGTGTTCGATATGTCTTGCCAATGAAAACTAAAACTAAAGAGAAAACAGAGAAACTCGATGAATTATTAACAAAAAAGTGAGAAGAAAAATTTCCCAAGCTACTAAATTGCTACTGCAATTGCAGAGAACCACACAATCCCATAATTATCGGTGGTACAAAAGCCATTTTATAAATTGCATTGCTTTAGTATGTGCCATCTTAACGAGGATTTAATTACTTTTTTGGTCTACTCTGTACTAAATTTTGATGAAGTGCCTAAATCACTCATACACAAAATGAACCAGAATGTCCACACATTAATAGCAAAGGAACGAAAGGGAAAAAGATAAAAGCTGGTGATAAAAGTGGAAAAGAGTGGAATATTACATTAAAAATTACACAAGTAATTGGCCTGGATAAAATGGTATTCAAAGTAGCCTGCAATCACGTGAGTTTTCCACTCTATTTGCTGTTTTAATATGGGTTGTTTGAAAAACTAGTCCTGATAAAATTCCCTGGTGAAATCACTCCTGCCCACTAATAGACAGTAAACATTACTTGCCACATGTAGGTTTCTGGGAGGTGGAAGTTTTGAAGCAAACTCATATTCTGCCTTTCATAACTGGACATTTACAAAGAAATGGCCTTGTACTTAGTTCTGCAGTGTTCAACAATAATCCACAACAGCAGACAGATGTTTTGGAAGAAAAAAAAAAAGGACCTATTATTCAATTCCCCAAGTGATTTCATTCCAGACCTAGGGATTTCATCAAGTTTTGAGTCAAATGTTGCCTAGGTCCTCATACCTGAAGCAAACTTATTGCTTTTTGTGCAAATTACACCAACAATGACCAATAATTTATCCCTTAAGTTCAAGGGCCAATCAGCCATAGTCAGCTGTAATAGGTTACGACCCTTAATCACAGTCCGACACACCAGAAGGGATTTTGTACACGATTTTATACCATGCCATAGAAAATACAGCAAATCAGAATACAGGAAAGCCGTCGTAAAGTTGAACCCTGCTATTTCAAACTCTTAGGGGAAATGAGAAATAGTTTGAAATAATGAGAGTCTAAAATAGCCAGTAGTAAATTACTGAAGGACAAATCCAAGGGAAATAGGAAATGGTTTCAAGTTTGAAATAACGGGGAATTCGAAATAACCAAGTTTGAATTAGGGGGGTCCAACTGTATATTTGATGGTGTTACACCCAACCTTCCCATTGTGCGCCAAGCGAATGTTGCATTGATCGTGTTGGCCACTGTATTTTTTATGGCATGGTATAAAGAAGTTATGCAAAGCTCTCTCGTGGTATACCAGGGAATATTCCACTTGTCACTTGTATTTTCTTGGTATACACTCACCTACAGGCTTGTGTGTATAATGAGAAAATACAAGTGACTTGTGGGATACTCCATGTTATATAACTCAAAAGTGAGGCATAACTAGCATGCATCTGGCCCTGTCTTTCCCTGCACCCAGATAAGAGAAAGTATGATGACCTTGTTCCCAGGGTCTCTCTTTTTCCCAAGAGTGCAAAAAATTCTACCTGCTTCATGCAGGATGTTCTTAAAGCAACTAGGAAAACAGACTCAGAAACAGCTGGCATATCAAATACTGGTGGCTGAATTTTTAGGCAATTCTACTGTAATTGCTTTGTGTCCTGTTGGCAGGCAACAAAATTTGCTTGTCACTTTTGCTTGGAAATCAAATTTGATGAACAAACAAGATTGCCTGGCTAGTTTTAATTTTTATGATGCAAAACGCACGATCATTTCATGGAAAGTTGCACTATATAAATTTTCAATATTATTGTTACACAAAACCAACAATATGGGCTTGGTTATTGGTTTGAAGCATGCTGAATGGGCTTGATTACCACTGCTCTGCCGAGCCCCATAGAGTAGTAAAAAGACATGAAAACAAGTCCATGGTAAAAAGGCACACCCTATTTGCATGTCTTCACACTGTTGACGAATTGTTATCAGAATGTGCCCCTAGACTATGGTTTTTGTATTTTACTAACCTGCAGCTTGACAAAGTGCAGTACAACACGAGTTTTAAAAACTTGTGTGCAATGAATGTTACTCTTATCCCACTGTTGGCTGCAGCTATCTCCTTACTAAAGCAGCACTGGATATTGCGCTAAACTTTGATCACATCTCTCATAAGTCAGAAAAATTGTAGTTTTCTCACTTTTTTGGACACTCAGTACTAGTTAATTCCTAATCTAACACCCAGATATTTTCTCCCTATAAAAACTGAAAAGATCTGGGTAGAAGATAAACACAATCCTAAATTGCTGAATTGATAACCTCTCGTAGGATTGGGCTAAGGAAATTATCCTTCTCAAGCTTGACTTTTGCATGGCTGCCACAGGCATAACTTTTCAAAATGTCCTGACTTTTCCCTGATAAAAATCAAATTTCCCTAACCAAATAAATATTATACAAAATGTCAGAAAAAATAGCAGCTTCTATCCTCATTTTACAGTCTTCCTTTCCACTCTTTCCTTAAGACTGATTAGTTTTCAACAAATTTTCCCTCTTCATTACGTAAAAATATTGTTGAGATCCCAGTGACCCCTAGGTTGACCTGCCGCAAGTCTAAGTGACCCCAAATGTTTCAACCAGCCTTCAATGGTATGAAACAGCCATGTTAAATTATTCAAATTTTCCCTGACTTTTCTTCAAAATGTCAATTTTTCCTGACACAAAATAAAAATTCCCTGACTTGTCCCTGACCTTGAAGAATTTTTCCCCTGACCTGTGGCAAACCTGTTTTGGCTTTGATTATCTCCCAATACCTTCAGAGACTTCCAGTAATTTCTAGGGTTCACAGTTTAACAAAAGGGGGATATATTTTCAGTGGCCTTGTTTGATTGATGTTACCATGCCTAGTGACGGCCTTTTTATCTTCTTCATAGAAACTAACCACTCCTGAATAAAATCAAGTCCTTTATTCTTAACCTAACCAACTTTAATAACAGCTAAGGATGAATATACATTATACTAAAAATGCAAGCATGAAATAAAATTTTTCTCCCACTAAAATACTGCAACTTGTTGAGTTCTGTATACATGAAGATGTCTGTAATTGAGGTAGCCTATACTGCTTCTTAACTGGTTGATTGACTGTAACTGCAACACTGTGATTCTTCAGTAGCTTAGGTCCTGGGTGTCTTATTGTAACTTATGCCTGGCTATGTCGACTTATGACTTCAATTGCAACAAAACCTAGGTATCAAAACAGAACAAGCTTAGACTCCTAAGACCAATAACAGTTATCGTAACAAACCAATTAGGATTACCTTCTCCTATGATTACCGTTTGGAGGCAGGAGAACACGTTAAGATAATGCATCCAACTAGAACAAGCAAATAAAGCCTAATCTTGTATGCTGCCAAAACTGCAACACCACTGCAGAAAGTGTGCATAATTTACATTGCAAATAATATGGGCAAAATCTCTTTTCTTGGCAGTAACAACGCTAGAACTACTTCCAGAATGGCAGTAAGCTGAATTTAACCTTAGTTTCCATGAATTCTGGTTACCCCTTGTAATGTTCATTGGACGTGTGCTAATCTAGTGGAAGAGTAGGTTATGCCAGATATCTTTTTTGGGAGGTTTGGGAATGGGTTGGAAAAAGAAGTCTTTCTAGTATTCAAGCATGTGGAATCTGGCATGCAGATAAACTACCTTAACTGACAAAAAAAATTAAATCCTGGCTTCAAATGTAATGATGGATTGATTGAAAACACACCAAAAGTTACTCAAAAATCATCTGAATGAAAAGAAATACAATGTACCTACCTTTTCTGCTAGTATGGTCGCGAATAGCCATCTTGTCCCCGACCATATCCCCTTTGTGGGCCATAGTTTGAAGGAGCTTGTGGGTAAGTTCCCATCTGGCTGTAATAATCATACCCGTTGCCATAATTATAACCATAATTGGGCTCTGCATAGCCATACGACTGATTATAGCCACCTGACGGGTAACCGCCATACCCGCTGCTTCCGTAATCTCCACCGCCACCACGGCTGTGACCACGGCCACCTCCATACCCTCCACGGCCGCGGCCACCGCGTCCACCGCGTCCTCCCGGGCCACCTTTGTCCTTGTCCTTGGGTTCGGCTTTCTTGATCTCCACGCTCTTTCCACATATGTTGACTTTTTTGAGGCAGCAAAGTTCATCGACGATATCCTCGTCCTCGAATTCAACAAAGCAAAAGCCGCGGTGCTTACTCGTGCCATCTTCGGTTTTCTTCATGATCAAGTCAACACTGTTCGGAGCAGTGCCACGAACTGCATCCGCAAGGGCCTGATGGATATCCTCGGAGGTTGCCTCGTCTTTCAAACCACCGATGAAGATTTTCTTCGTTTTGAGACGAGCTGTAGGGCTGTCATCATCTTTGGGAATGGCTCGCTTCACTTCGACTTCTTTTTCGTCGATGGTATGGGCTCCCTTTTCTTTCTTGTATTTTAGTACCTCAATGACGCTGTTCTTGTCTACGAAAGTCACATAACCGAATCCTCTGGATTCTTTACTTTGAGGATCAACAATTACAACACAGTCTGACATTTCTCCATAGCTATCAAAGTATGCTCTTAAACCGTCATTGGTTGTCGACCTGCTCAAACCACCAACAAAGATCTTCTTCAATCTGTCTTCGCTGTTCTGATCGTTCGCCATTTTACCAATTCTTCGTTTCGGGTACTTTTCCTTTCAGTCGTGAAAAGGTTTAGACAGAAGAAATCGCTAACTCTTCCAGTCAAAAGAAGATGCTGCCTCTGAGAAAATGGACGCGGAAAAGGTAGAAAGCAGACCGCCGGTTTAGAATGGCCAGCACGTGTTCGGGATTTATGTGGTTTGATTGGTTGAACGTTTTTCGTAGAATGATTTTGATTGGATGGATTATTGGATGCGACAATAATCGATTTGTTGATTCAAATTCGCGGGCTCAATTTCAAAATGGCGTTCAAGCAGAGGTAATGAGAGAATGGAAGATTCTTTGTTGAACTTCACTATCCAGCTAGGGGATCCCTGATTAATTAGCTTCTTTCGATCCATTGTTCTTTATTTGAAGGGTGTCAGACTTCAAATCTGCTCTCTCTGCGCAACAGATTGACCTCAAAAATCTTAGAAGACTCTGCTTTAGTGGTAAGTTTCATGTGTGATCTGTAGTCGCCCGTACATGTAGCTGCATGTTCTGCAGAGGGAAATGTTTTCAGTCATGGACTATTCATGATGTGGTATAAGGTTGCCTTTTTTATTTCTTAATCATGTGATGACAGGCATACCTGATGGATCTGGAATTCGGTCATTATGTTGGAAGGTAGGAAGAAACAACATGTACTCCAGAGTGTAGTTCAGGAAAGTGTCCATATATACCCACCCCATATCCATGGAAGGTCATTTGGAAATTCTGAGGGAATGAGGTCTCAAGTGACAAAATATTTAAAGGAATTTGTGAGGCTAAGCTTGAAATTCCAGAGGTTGAGAAGGAAGGGTGGGGGGGGGGGGGCACAAACTAAAAAACCTTCTGTGAGGGTAGGGATATGGATATTTTCTGGAATGTTACACACAGTACCACATGTCCACTGTTCACTCCACAGGGGGCTAATTAATTAAAGCTTGGTCAGTGTAAAATGCAGACTGCAGACTGCAGACCTGGGATAAAATGCAGACTGGAGGTAAAATGCAGACTGCAGACTTAAAACTTTTTAACTGAATAATGTTACCATTCCATCATTGAGAGGTAACCATAATGACGCTAACCAGAGTGTTATTCAGGCTATACAGAGTGATATTCAGGCTAAATGGTATGTTTTTCTGGCTAACTGGAGTGCAAGCATTCACTCCAATTAGCCTGAATAACCGTGTTTACAAAATCTGTGAGGGAGTTCAATCGATCCATGGAACGCTTTCGGAGAACGCTAAGACGAAACAGAAGCCTTTCAAAATATGGAAGGGGAAGAGCTTTATAGAAGTTTTGAACGCAAACCTTTATCCCGTCAAAAACCGATGGTTATAAAATTTGTTTGTCGACCATACAGTATGTGGCACAAACCAATTCTGTTCAGTCGATCGATTGAAACTCTAGAAACAAATGACGCTTTTAAACATAATCTAGGTTTGAAATAGTTTCATAAACAAATGTTTACCCAGTAAAAGAAGCACATTGCAGTCTCTTAAAGATTAGTTGTGTTACTGAACACGCTAAGAAGCAAAGAGTCAATAACGCCTGTTGATCGTCGATCTAAATGATCAATTTCATCGACCTTGAAAAATGCGAATGACNTCATTCATTCATTCATTCATTCATTCATTCATTCATTCATTCATTCATTCATTCATTCATTCATTCATTCATTCATTCATTCATTCATTCATTCATTACCCTTAAAAATGCTGAAAATAATAGTACACAGCCAATTCAACCTTAAAGTCCCAAATCTATGTTATTTCACAGGCACTGCAAACATGCTGCGCCATTATATTTGAATTGCTTAAATTAACCAACGGGTGCGCATCTGAAATTGAACCAATAAAAACAAAGTCTGCACTTGCATGCGTGCCAGGGTGTAAATGTCAAGTTCTTTTAAAGTTTTAACTATTCCATAAACTCCTAAAAGGTCGCAGCAATGTATCATATATTACTGTCAGGACACATTCATTAAGAGTGATAACTGAATTGTTAGCTAAGAAGTATTTGCATTTTGCATTGTAGCGTCATAAGGGATCAACTACTTGCTGGAGATTTTGCTACAACAATGAAACTTCTACAGGTATGGAAAAATGCCTTTTGCCTTTTGATGTTATAGTGATTTTCAAAGAGTGGTAGTAAAATTTTAAAAGAAGTATAAACTGATTTAACATGCCAGTTTCCACCAGATAAGTATTGTTCGACAGATGGCATGGTTGATTTGTTAAAACTGAATGGTGATTTCATCTGGTCATCCGGAACAAGTTGATTTCCTGCTGGGCAAGTAACTTTTCATTCTTACTTGCCTGATCGGTAAGGGCCCAGGCGAGTCATCCGCCAACTAAATCACAAAAAGACTACACCAAAACTTGCCTAGGGCAACAAAAAGTTGTGAGCTACTTGTCCGAAGGGCAAGCTGAAATTCAAGTTTTTTAACCCTGTGATTTAGATGATGGATAGCATTTATAAAACTGTTCACTGTACCAGAGTGTTTTATATTGCCAGAGGTTAATCCTTTTCCCAGTTTATGTTGAAGATGAGATGTTAGTCCATCACAGGGTTATCCCACATTATTAAGTTCAATGGTAGCCATTTATAGACCTGAGTGAAGTCTGATAGGCACTTTGAAAGAAGGTGCCACAATACTGACAATGACCCTGGTGAGAGCTGAAACCCAGACCAGTCAAACTGGACCCAGCACACTGGGCTGCTGTGTCTCACAGGATGTGGTGACATATCCGTCTTTTTAGCAAGCAAGGTTTTCATCGTGGGCCACTTGGCTCTTGGACAGATTTTTCTCACCCATCTGTTTAATTTTGCTTTGAATTTTTGTTTTTAGAACTCGTCTTCGTTACAACATGTCAGGCAGTGATCTGTACATTCATTTAATCATTGTAAAGTTTTGTTTGTTATCATTTCAGAATTACCCAGATATTGATATCCACACAATTCTCTCCAAAGCAATCGAACTCAAACGTCCAAGAGTAGTGGCACCCAATCCTCCACCAACACATCCAAGGCAGAAAGCTGGGTTCCAGTTCAAGAAGAGATGACAACTGTTTGATAATACCATGTCATTTTTAAGTTCTCTATCTGCCTTTTTATAGCAAAATTAATGTCTACTAGAGACGTTTCAAGAATGCGAGACCACGTTATTACACGAACGATGTCTTCCTACAGTGCCAAATTCTCTCTATAAGAATTATAGAAAATATATTAAAATCAGTGGGGAGAATAAGGAAGTTGATCTTGTGACTAAATACGTCATTTTCGTATAGAATAAATTATATTGTGCATCCCAAAAGTTGGGAGGGAAGATTTCTAAGGGGAACGAGAAGGACAACTTTTTGCTATGTCTCTTTGCTATCTACCAAAAACCATACTGAACTTTTTAAAGTTTTGTCAGTGTTTTGGGTTAACTTTCCGAAGAACGTAATTTCATCCTGTTTCAATCACTTTAACCTCTGTTACTGTGGATCAGAAAATGGAGGGAAAACTCTAAGCTCATTTCTATGGAAACATGTCATGTTGCTTGATAACGAAACTACCCCGGAGAAATTTGTCGGTTCATTTTAATCTCAGACATGACATGTTTGTAGATCCTCTGTTCATTTGGGGCAAAAAGTTTCATATTCTAATTTATGATATCCTGGTTATGATTTGTCTCCTGTGTACCCATGTTTAGTATGGAATCAGAGCTGTGATTGGCTAAAACTTAAAGTGGCATGCATTAGATACTAGACATTAGCCATTAGCTTCTCCAGATGGAACCAGAGCTGTGATTGGCTAAAACATTGGGAGGCATACAGTACCATTTAGACATTAGCCATTAGACATTACAATTAATGACCTTCCTTGAAAAAAAAATTCCAGTTTAAGTTCCTCCTTGAATGCTCTTGTTGGCATTCTTTAGTCATGAGAAGAGGAACACATAGTGCTGATTGAAAATTAATTTGTTGGTGTGCGGTGCAAGTTAAAGTGTAGAGATCAGAGTATATATGATAGTACAGATGTTAATATGAATTTGAGGACGGATAGCCGTTCATAATTGATTTCCGGTGACTTGTTTCTCGTTGTCATGGAAAATGGACATTCCATTTTGTGCCATTGTTCGCCTCCTTACAAAGTTCTGGGATTAAAGATCATCCGGAAAATAAAGGTTGGGAATCGAATGGTCTACTTTTTGTAAAAAAAAAATGTAAATATGTCACTGGATTCCTAATGACAAAAAAAAAAAAACGATTGTAAACCTTTTAAGCAAGTTATCAATAAAACAGATGATATCAGATCATGGATTGTTGGAGTTGTGAAAAATCTGGAAGTAATATATCAAACACGAAAGTTAACAAATCGAATGTGGTCTAGCGTTGTCTGTACTCTTATCGACAACGATGTGTCATCACAGTGGTCAAAATGTTGTGGACTCACGAGGCGCAGCTGAGTGAGTCCACAACAAATTGTCTGGACTCTTATCGACAACGGCAAATCAGCCAATCAGATTGCGACATTAGTAGCAATTGTGGTAAAAACCGTGTTTGACTACATTTCCAAACATCGAGAAGAGAGTTGAAAGTACGATGCGCAACGAAGTATTTTTGATGAACTTCGAGGTGTTTGGAAGTGTGGTCAAACACTGTCTTGAGTGTTTGATATATCTTCTCAATCGAAGCTAACACAAAGCAGAAAACTGAGAAAGGCCCGCGAGTTGTATTGGGAAGAGAAATGTTGTGCCCAAATAACAAAATATTTTAGACCGCCCCGATTGCCCCGCATGAGTAGAACACAATCACTCCGACCAAAAATTCTCAAATATTGAACGAAAGGCCACTAGTTTGAGTAAATAGCACTTTTACAAACTTGGACGGAATAGACAGATCGGTCAAAAGCATCGTGCAACTCTCCTTATGGGAGGCTCTGGTTTCCCGCTCGATTATAAACCCGGAAGAAGTGTGGGTAGAAGAGGGAGAAGCGTGGAACTGACTAAAATCCCCAAACACTAAACATCTTAGATTTCTATTGTCATATTAAGAGCCCCCTTAAACACTTGTCAAACATATGCCAAAAATATGTCAAAAATCAATGAATCCAAAAAAACAGACAGTGGCAAATGTCGATGGTCCCATGTGAGGAAGTTAAATTTTCAGTTCTCTTTCAAGTTCGCTGTTAGCAGATTCTCGTTTTAATTCTGAACTACAAACTCGCCATCTTTCACAGAAGGTTTCAATAGGGTTCAAATTCCTCCGATGCAGACTGGCTCTAGTGTAGCGCCCAGTTTTCCCTGCGCAGTCAGTCAGTCAGTCGGTCTCGTACTTCCCGAAGACTTCCAGGAAACCTCGACAGATTAGGTGCCACAGCACAAAGCGGTCAAACAGAGAAACACGCACTGTTTTGTTATCACTGTATGTCTTCATCAGGCACCTGCTTCGTTCACTTTAATCCATTGACGAAGATACATGGACAATGCCGTGTTCCTCGAACCGGAAAGTTTTCCCTGTAGCGAAGACCCTGTTCGTCACGGAATCGGGATGCAGACAAACAGGATACCAGTTATTTTGCTAACTGACAATTAGCCTACAATTACGGCTCATAATCCATGTCTTGTAAACCAATTTGTTTATAAACAGCCATTTTTTTAGCTGCATGGCGGTTGTTCCCCAATTATATGCAATTCTTTTAAACACTGAAAATAAAGTTAATATGAGTCGGTAAGGACCAACAAATGGTGTTATTGTTTGTCCGGGATGGCGTTAAGTTCATTATCTTTGATCGCATTCCTAGCAGAATCTTGCTCCGAGTTTGCAATCAACAGCTCGTAGGATTGGTCTATTTCATTTTTGGCCCGTGCAGTATCCTGATAGTCCAAATTGTCCCTCTCGTGTAACCCCTTCCTTACGACAAAGGTGACACACAAAGCGAAAAGCGAGATCAGCGCCAAAATTAGCGCTCTTTCGAAGCTCGAAGTTGACGCCATTCCACCGAACACGGTCTCTTGCGAGTTTAATGTCGTTGCTTCACTGCTCAGTGATTTTTAAAATGTTCACAATGCTCGACGTTTGGTGTTGAAGTGGCTCTTCTCCCTGGCTGAAGAATTGTCAAAATACCTCGGCTTATCACTCTTCAAGTGTCAATGTTTCAAGTTCCTCACGGAGTAAGTGTCAATGTTTCAAGTTCCTCGGGGAGAAAGCCGATAAAGCTGCATCCATAATTAATGCTTGAAAATAACAACTTTGTTGCGTTATCTAGTATTCTTGGGTCCGTTTATTTTTCATACGGTGGTAATTTTCCTGACCAACAAAATAAATTCGAACTCGCGTCCGTTTCAAATGTTTTCTAGAAAATCGCGAGCAAATATTTGTTTCATTTCGTTCTCTAGAAACAAGAAAGGTAGTTTAACTCATTATTTAACGAGAATTACGAAATCAAGGTCGTTGGCTTGCTTATTTATTTACTTACTGAGTTTTTTCAACGCTTGACCAATTGTAATTAGCCGGCCAATGATGCGAAGAAAAGAATGTCTCCCCTAAAACAAGCATTGAGCAGGTGGTCTCCCTTCAGTTGTACCTGGTCACACGTTACTGAAGTTATGGAAAATAGGACAAAATCTATGCCAGACTCATTCAAATTCGCATGACGGTGCCTTTGACAATCGAAGTTGTAGCCAATTTTTATCGATTTTTTAAAAAAAATTGGGGTGAAGACATAGTTCCTTTTCACGCGCATGTCCTCGAAGTTGCTACAGTGACAAAGTTAGGTGTGACAAATGTGTCAAATGCTGATTGACAGTGAAACTAAATTTCAACAGTTCAAAGAAAAACATGTAAGAACAAAATGGATACACCAATTTACTATTTCTGATTATCACCAGTATGTATTCGTTTTCTTACACTTGAAAATGTTCTCACAATTTATGAATGTGGATTATTCCCTGATTAACCCGTTAGCCGTGCCAATCCGTCCGTAATCGGCCCCGCCTTGCAACAATCACCTCAACAAAGTGCAGGGCAAGTGAACGGCGTTCCTAAAATTTTGATGCTTCAACGCAATTTTTCGAACTCACTAGGGCGTCACAACCTCTGACTTCTATTTGTAGAACACAAAATTGTCAGCTGAACATAGACTACAAGCGGATCCTAATGAACCCTCAAAGATACCCCGGTAATATGACCAAGCGGGGAAATGGCAGACCGTCTTGTTATAATAAATTTAATGACATAATCTGGTTAAATTAACCTGTGACCAAAAGGAAAAGAGGGCCTGAGGTCACTCGTTAACTACCTTATTCGATTATAGTAAACAAATACTGTACACGTGCTAGTTCAAACAGATAAAAATTCTTTAAGTGGTGTTACTTTGAAGATTGCTGGCTATTTCAAGATGTTACCCTTGACGGAGAACGAGCAAAAGAGAAAAGAGGCCACAGAAAAGCAGACAGTTCAGTCTCTGATGTTTCCGCGTGATATTCGCCACATTCATTCACAAGGGCAACAAGATGTTGACAACGCGGTCACCAGCTTTTGAAATCCAGACAAACTCTTCCAGTGTGTACCATCAAAAAGAAATGGGTCCAGCTAAAAAAAAAAAACCTTGCTTGCCGACAGGGAGAGGGGGGGGGGGGGGG